TAGAGGAGGGAAAAAATAAAAAAAAAAAAAACAACCTCCTCCCTCCACTCCCGAACTCGTTAATCTCTTTTTTTTCCCCCATCTCCGCTTCCCTTTTTTTGGGGGGGTGTTTGTTTGTTTGTTTGCTTGGTTCACATCGAGTATATTTAACGAGGGCCAGAAACTGTGCAAGGCTGGTTTGGATCCACCCAAAACGAGTGACAAATGCAGGCTGGGCTGGAAAAAAAAAAACAACCTCCTCCCTCCACTCCCGAACTCGTTAATCTCTTTTTTTTCCCCCATCTCCGCTTCCCTTTTTTTGGGGGGGTGTTTGTTTGTTTGTTTGCTTGGTTCACATCGAGTATATTTAACGAGGGCCAGAAACTGTGCAAGGCTGGTTTGGATCCACCCAAAACGAGTGACAAATGCAGGCTGGGCTGGCTCTGTGTCAGACACCGCGGGGCACAGCACCCGCATCCCCGACGCCTGCTGCCTGTGCCTGCCTGCCAGGGACAGGGAGGATTTTCACAGCCTTTTCACAGCGTTTTGCGTGGCATTACCTGGGGCTTTCTGTGCGCGCGTGTGTGTGTGTGTGGAAGAAATCAGTGACAAGCTGCTGACCAGGACTGTGCTGTGCTGGTTCGGGTGGGGATTCAGTGCCACAACAGGGTAGCGATGCAGCCGGCGGGCACTGGAAGCTCTGGGAGGAGGCAGAGCAGCCACCCAGGGCTGTGGGCAGGGCTGCTGATGGGAAGCCACTTGTCTGAATGGACTCCTCCCCGTTTTCCCTCGGTGTCCCCAGCCTGGGTGACACAGGCTGTGCCCCCCCAGGGGATGCTCAGCGTGCTTTGCTGCCCAGCGACCATCTCCTCCCCCCCGCTCCGTGAGCTCCATCTCCCTCACGGCAGCTTCAGCTTCCTGTGATTTCACGTTTCTTTTCCCTTCTTTCTGTGTGCGTGTGTGTTTGTTGTTGTTGTTTTCTCTCCTCCAGATGCCTCCCCGTCCGCCCCCGAGCAGCGATACCTCTTCGACATCTCCAGCCTGCCCGAGGCTGAGGAGGTGACAGGCGCGGAGCTGCGGGTCCTGCGTTCCCTCCCGGAAAACCTCAGCCTGGCCCTGTCCCCTGAAGGCACCTTCCACCACCTCCTCCTCTCCACCTGCCCCAGCCCGGACGGTGAGGAGCCCCGGCTGCTGGACTCCAGAGCTGCAGACCTTCTAGACTCGGGTTCCTCCAGATGGGAGGTGTTTGATGTCTGGGAAGCCCTGCGGGATGGGAAGGAGAGGTCTCCCTCGGGCAAACTGCTGTGCTTCCTGCTCAGGATCGTCTCGGATCAGTCCGGGAGGCTCCTGCCCCCAAGACAGCTGGGCTTCAGCAAACCCCGACCCCAGCCCCACGAGAGAGCCTTGCTCGTGGCCTTCTCCCGCACCCAGAGGAAGGAGAACCTCTTCAAGGAGATCCGGGATAAGATCAAGGCTCTGGGTAGCCCTCCCTTCCTGGAACCCCCCGATCCCGGCCAGGAGGGTTACACCAAGAGGAGGAAGAGGAGGACCACGGTGGCCGCCCGGTCTGGGGGCAGGGGCCACGGGAAGAAGGCCAAGACCCGCTGCAGCAGGAAACCCTTGCACGTGAACTTCAAGGAGCTGGGCTGGGACGACTGGATCATCGCCCCCCTGGATTACGAGGCCTATCACTGCGAGGGGGTCTGCGACTTCCCCCTCCGCTCCCACCTGGAGCCCACCAACCACGCCATCATCCAGACCCTGATGAACTCCATGGACCCGGAGTCCACCCCCCCGAGCTGCTGCGTGCCCTCCAAGCTCAGCCCCACCAGCATCCCACCTCCCCACCCAGCCCTGCCCCGTTTTATATAGATAATTATAAATATATATATATATATATAAAAAATATATATATACACACACGTACACATTTGGGTGTGTGCCTTCCCAAAAGCCAAGCTCAGAGCAGGTGTCCCCTACCTTCCTGTCCCCACCCTGGCCATGAGCCCAGGAGGGTTGGGGGGGATGGCCTCCTCAGAAGCAGGGCTGTAGATTTCCCCCCCACCCCAGGCCCTCTCAAAGCAAGAGCAACTCTCACCACCCACGCTGGGTCTCCTGGGCCTCAGCTGGGGGGAGATGCACTGTGGTGAGAGGCTGAGCTCCCTCCTCAGAGCTGCCACCATCTCTGTGCCTTGGCTGCTCCCTCCCCACCCAAGGAGGGGGTCACACAGCCCAGCAGAAACCCCCAGGGGATGCCTGCTCAGCCTCTAAGCTCTGCCTGATCCACTTGGTTCTCCCAAGATGAGCTGACACCTTCTTTCCCAAAGGTTTTGGGAAATGTCTGGCCAAAATTGTCTCTGTGGGGAGGGACAGCCTTGAGGGGTGGATGGAGCAGGGGCTGTGGCAGAGGGCTCCAGCCAGCATCACCCTCTGGCTGTGGCAGAGGGGTGGAGGGGAGGTGGAAACGCTCTTTTCTTGAAGTGAAAGGAGTTTTTCTGGCTGCCTTCAAATCCCCTGGGTTTGCTGGGGGCAAAATGAGAGATCCCCAGGGGAATGCAGGGGTGGAGAACCTGTGGCTGTGGGATGTTGAAATCATTTGGTCCAGGCCTGTTTGCAGTGGGAAGAGATGGTCAAGTCTGCTGTTGGGGACAGAAAAGATGGTCCCCATCAGCTGAGGCTGAAGCAAGAGTCAGATCTGAAGGAGAGCTGGTGCTCTTAACAGAGATGGGAACAGCCCTGGAAGGTGTTAGCTGGGGATGCTGTGGCTCTGCGTGGCCCAAAGCACTGGTCCTGTTGCTGATGTCCTGCAGGAGGTACCAGCTAGTGGGGTCCCCTCCTTTTCCTGCACAAAACCCCCACTTCCACGCCAGGCACCCAGCATCGGGCCCGCGGGTCACGCAGCCGTGCTCAGCATCTGGAGACAAGCAAAGGTCCTGAGCTCCTGAGGGAAGACCCATTTTGCCTGGGCTCTTCTTTTTCCAAACAACCTCTAGAAAAGCCCTGAGCCCCACCCTGCCTTCCTCTGGCACATGATTTCCCAGTGAGCTCCAGCCCTCCCCAGGGCACTGGCCTCTCCCCGTTCCATGAAGGGAGCTGGATCTGCCAGGAATGGACATTTCCCAAGAGAAGGGCTGGACACTGCCCTGGGAGACTGCTACATGAAACGAGGTGCTTTGGCCCATCCCAAAAGGGCTACAGGATTTTAGTAACTCAGGAGCTGAGGATAAGTCATGCCTTTAAATCAGAGAAGCCTTGTACCTGCACCAAGGCATATTTGGATGCTGGGGAGCGTCTTCGCTGCACCTTGGTGGCACTGAGGACTGAACTTTGGCTTCGAGGCTGGGTTGGCTTAGACCAGAGATGTATTTGCACAGATTTTGCTTCTGATGGTTTGTTTTTTTTTACTGTTGGTCAAGGTGTTGTTGGCCTGTAAACATCAGTGCTCGCTAGCAATGGCCGTTTGCTTCTGGGGAAGGTCAATTC